TGACCATCTTTATTGTGTTCAATTTTCATTTTTTTTGACAGTCCAAATTCAATACAAAAATCAGATTTTTAGAAAACACCCATTTAAATCTTATTGATCCTAAGATATTGTGCAAGTCAAGCACACGTTATATATATATTAACAGATTTTTACATGTAATATATACATATAATATAATTTCAAACTAACCATACATCAGTAAGTCTTTAACAGCATTTTAATGTCTTTAGTCTACTCAAAAATCAGATGATTTATAGGGTGAACTGCTATGAATCATAATTTGGTGAATTTAAATAACAAATGACACTTCAGACAATATAATGTTGCACAGGTGTGAACTCATATCAGTCAAAAAGAGAGAATCACGAATAAAGTGCTTAGACATCGGGAGAACAGAGTATTAAGACATGTAAACCACTAATTTAAGAATCTGCGCGGAGTAAGCTTTTTAAGACGGATTTCTGCCCAGCCAGTTTGTGCACTGTATTATAGAGTCACAGTGAGGCAAAGGGATAATGTGGGGTTTAACCCCAAAACCACTTGGCAAAGACTCTGTTTGCGAAGTCTGAATTATGCCAGAGGATAAGGGAACTCTTCACAGAAATTAAACAGATAAACAAACGAACATATGAATAATAAACAAAGTCAGTGTTATCACAGTGATCACAAATACATGCCCCCTAGGCCATGCCTTTTTTTAGTACACAAAGTATGAAGTTACTAACACATGTCTTTTAGACTGATGGATTTCAATATAAAGTATTTTCACAATTGTTCATGCAGTGAAAGTGCCCATAAAAACACTTCCACTGAAAATCAAGACATCCCAAAAACATGTTTTGGAGAACATTTCTCAAGTAAAAACTTTTATTTGATGCTTTATTTTTTATTTAAACAAAGGTATTACAATATTGGCTGGATTTGAGTCAATTATGTGACTTTTTTTTGTCCAGATTTATCAAGTCTATTTATGATGGCCATGTTTTTCATTTCTGAAAAAAAAAAGACATTTACATTTCAAATTAAATAATTTATATTCAAATTAAATAATATTCATTTATTCATTTCATTTTTCAGTTATTCATATTTGAAAATCTTCTTTCCACCAAAATCAAATGTGTGGTGACCAGCATGCAGGGAGCTATTTTGACGATCAGACTTTTAGGAATGACATCTAATGACATCCTCCAGCCTTCATTGACCGCCAGCACGGACAGCAGAGACAGAACCAGTAGACAGAGCCTGCATTCTCTCAGTTTTACCTGAACAGACACACACCAAGAGCAGCAGTTTTAGTCAAAACCATTTGTTACATTATCACATAAATTATTGAACTGTCCTATCCTGTGAAAAAGCAACAGAAGAGGACATTCACACCTCATCTTACTAATTCTTTCCTGTGCCTGAGGTGAGATGTTGGTGCTAGAGATGGATACATAAACCATGATGTCATTTTTGAATGAATTATGGAAGTAAACCCTGCCTCTTGGATTATAATTAGATGATGTCTTTGTTGGGGAATGTTGAGGCTCTTCACATATGTTCAAACAGGGGGCTTATGTCACACAAAGCCAAAGGTCATTCACGCACACCTACTGCAGTTTGATCATTCTTTCAATACACTCATAAAGGGAATGACATGCAGTTGCGGTCTTAAAAAAATAACTGGTTATATGAATTTCATCACGTCCAATGTGGAGTAGGACAATGCAACCAGTCTGTTAGAAACACTACTCAAATTTCTTACCTTAGGTTTTACAAAACCTATAAAATAAAAATATTTAACTCTTTCTTATCGTAATATAACCGACACTGGAGCATGAATAAATGAATGACATGACATGAATTAATGACTAGTTTTAATCAAACTCACTGAATATCATAAAACATTACTCCAAAAATGATGTAAATGTACGTTGCATAAGTTCCTTTTGCATGTTGTGTAACATAAAACCTTTTTTTGGAATGCATCCAGAAAGCTTTCTAGAAAGTTTCATGCCTTTATCCCTACCCTTGAGTCCAACTAAATATTACAAAGAAAATTTGTAAGATTATAGACAAATTTATATCAAGGGTTGTAATGCACCCATAGAAAAGATGCTTTGTGTTAATTTCAATTAAAATACGAACGGTTCATAAATCGATGTATACAAATTATTTGATTGCAAAGAATGAACAATGTTTGATGATAGTTGTGCAATTAGATGTGAAAAAGTAGATTTTTTATTCTACCTCTGACTATGTTCTGCCACATTGAATAGGTTTGAATAGTCAGACTGTGGGCCCATAATCAGACCAATAAAAACAAGACTGATGCAAAAGTGTTTGTACTTAATAAATAGATAAAATACAAAGAAAAAAGATAAATCGTTTATTTAAAAAAAAAAATGGATTTAATAGTTTTGATAGCCATGGCCAAACACTCAACAGCTGTTGGTCAGTTTAACAGGATGCTATGTAAAGTAAAACGTTTCTGTAAAATCAGATACTTAAAAAATAGATTTGTTTTTAAGTTAATTTAACCCTGATAGAATTTTAGACCTCAAACCGAACAGACAGAATCGCTTAACTGAAGCACACTTACTGTGCCTTTTTCAGTGTTCTGTATTTCTGAGTCACACCACTAGATGTCACTCCATTCATGATATTGAGGCAGTTGACAGTTAACTCACAAAATCTGTAATCAACAGTGTTGGGGAAAGTTACTTTTAAAAGTAATGCATTACAATATTGTGTTACTCCCCAAAAGAGTAACTAATTACGTTACTTAGTTACTTTTTATGGAAAGTAATGCGTTATGTTACTTTTGAGTTACTTTTTAAATCTGGGCAGGGCTTGCTTGATTATTTTTAATATAAAAAAGTTATTCTTTAACAAATGTAAAAGCCCTTTAACATCACAGTGCACACAACGCCTCTGCACTTACATTTACATTTTGGGCTTAACTTCCCATTTTTCTCAACATGGCAACACAAGAGCTGTCAGTCAAGACATGGGAAACAAAGTAACTAGAGTTACTTATTTGAAAAAGTAACTCAGATATTTCCTTCTAAATTAAAAAAGTAATGCGTTACTTTACTAGTTACTTAAAAAAAAATCTGATTACGTAACTTGCGTTACTTGTAATGCGGTACCCCCAACACTGGTAATCAAGCATGGTAAATTTCTTACACACTTCTTACAGTGTTTAGAAATTATGGGCATTATTATTCTATTATTATAGAAGTTATGGGCATTATTATGAGCCTCCTTTTTGATAGGTCTTCTATTGGTATTATGAAACATATTCTGTACGTTACTTTCTACAGTTGTTTTGATTTTGTTTCTTTATGTACAGTTGAAATTATTTTGTTTTCTTATTGTTTCAATGTTGCGAAAAAGTCAGTAATATTCATTAGTTTTATTAGTTCTTCTTTCTAATGCTGGTTTTATGTCCTAGACAGGAGGCTGAGAACATGCGTCCTTCACTGTCCCGCGCGAGCACGTGGCCACTCTTTGATTAGCGTGTTCTTCGACACAAACACAAACACCTGTAACATGCAAAACATACAGCGACACGTGAGGACACGCTCATTGTGCAATCCAGATCCATTGCATAAATAATTTTTTATTTTTTTATTTGTCATAAACGTGTTTGGTGGCTGACATATATTTCACGTTTAGGCTATATTACTGTTTTACGACAGAAATGTTAAACGACAGACAGTAATATAATGCAACTAGGCTAGTCGACTTATTGTCAAATTTCGCCGATTTGAATATATAGACATATTTGAGACTTATGTGATTTATCTAATTCATAACAGAATGCGACAAGACGAAACCTTAACGGAGACATTTTCGTTGTCAGCCACAGGCCACGATTAAGAGTGAATTTGTGCATATTAAAACACACACACACACACACACACACACACACACAAAAGATTATTTGCAAATAGTTCAGACTGATTACTTACAATAAATCCTAGTTCTTTTACTGTTAATCTTAATTTTTTTTCCTACTTTTCTAATAACACATGTGCAAACTTTATTGTTTAATAACTGTTAGAGAACAACTGTATGTGCCTTTGGCTTCAGATGTCAAATCTTGGTACCAATGGGGGAAAAAGCTGTAAATAAAGCAGCGAGGTGAATTGCTTTTTTCAAGGGCCTGCACAGTTAAACAACGCTAACAAAAAAAAGAATTTTGTAAACTGAGTGGTCCAGAGAAAGTATATCAAACACAGATCAGTCACAGATACAGGATCATTTTACTGAATTGAGTTGCATTGTGATAAAACTGTGAAAAAAAATGATTAAAAAAATTATGCTTGTTGCAGCTCACCCTCATGATATACTCTGAAAACAAAATCTGAAATAAAAAAAAAATTATGTGATGTTTTGTTGTGTACATTTTGGTACTGATTTACGAAAGAGACTTGTTCCCCACCACTATATAATCTTTGAAGCTCAATATCTCTCAATATCTTATAATTCCAAGGTGATGATTCCATGTTTAAATTTTCATTTTGTTTCATCAACATAAAAAGCTATTTAACACAATGTAATGTGTGGTGTAAATGGCATACATGTGAATCAGAAGTAGATTATGGAAAACTTCCCTCCACAGAAAGCATCCACATCGGAAGAGTCTTATTGACACGAATGTGAAGCCTGAAGGAGAGCATCTCCATGTATCTCAATGATAACATTTCTTTTTCAAATGATGCTTTAATGTCAACTTTTTTTCTACAAAATAACTGGTGATGATTAAGAACAAATGACAAAAGACAGCATTTGAAATTTTTTATATATTTATTTAAAGTCTGATCCATGCTGAATAAGGTACAACTTTGATTTATCACACAGTAGATATTTTGTAGACATCAAACTTTGAAGAAAGAAAAGTGACACCAGAAATAGACCTACAAAACGAAAAGCTTTAGTTTACATAGCAGCCTATGATTCAGTACTGTACAAACTTTACTTTGAAGATTTATGTATACACATTCTCACGCCACAGATAACTGATTGAGAAAATATGTTGTAGGGAATGTAAAGAGCTTACATTTATGTTGTTATTTTAAAAACATAATTAGACCACAACACATCTCACAATAGTTCATTATAAGGCAGCTATATTAAGGCATGCTGCTGCACAGCTCCGGTCTCTGGTCGGTCTCAGTGAAACCATCAGTGCTGATGCCATGGGATTTGAGGATGCCTAACAGCTCAGAGACGGTCTCTTTAGGAAGTGTGCGGGTTCTGCTCATGATCCAGGAATACTCAGCGTGAAAGAGCCCGGCGAAATCAGAGCAAGAGTAAACCAGGGTGTAGTTGTCATAATCAGTAGCCAGCACCCAGTAGGGGCCAGGAGGAGCATCTGAAAGAGGACACATCACGAATAACTCAAATCACAGATTCTTACAAATAAATAAATAAATAAAATAAACTAAGAAGAATGATTAGTTTAGACTTACCTTCAAAGAAGCTGACTTCAAGTTTGGCAGGCTCTGATGCATCTACAATCTTGGCAGTTCCCTCAATGAAGCTGACAGTGCCATTAGCACTGTTAAGATATTCAGAGAAACAATATTTGGTTAATTTAAGTCATTTCAGAAGAAAGTGCAAAACTATTTGGAATATTAACAAGTATTTTGTTTTGTATTTTTAAATGTTTTTATTTACTCCTATAGATTGCAAAAATACAGAATAATAACACCAGTATTTTTATTTTGTTTTATATTTTATTTTATTACTGCAGTAATTGTTCATCAATACTCACAGAAGCTCATCATTTCGAACCAGGACAATACCGTCACTCAGAGTATAAGTGGCCTGGCAACACTCTCCCAACTGGAACGGGGCTGGAATCTTCATAATCTCATGCCATCTGCCCATGTACTATGAAAGGACAAAATGATGAGAAATTAGAGGACAGGAACAGGATTGAAAATGTAGATAACTTTGTACCTGAAAAAAGAAGTTTGATATGAAGAAATACAGATTTTCTGCTATTTTTGTTATCAATGTGATATTTTTCTTAATTTTTCTTGTCTTTCCTCTTGGCTTTATTATGCTAAAGTTTTTCAAGATGATCATAATATGTTCCTGATAATAAAGAATTAAATGGTAAACTAAAGATTAACATTATAAGTAAAAGTGTACCCTAGTAGGATCAAAGTTTTGCTGAACAGGAGGCTGTGGACATTTTCCAGAGCCGATGGACTGAGCGCTGACCGCCAGCACAGACAGCAGAGTCAGAGACAGAACCTGAAGAGCCTGCATTCTCTTAGTTTAAACCTGAAAAAGAGTCATATTTAATGAGAACAACTAGAAATTTGGCTTTAAGAGTTGGATAGTTGAGATTCAAATGCCGAGCATCTTACCTGTTTGGTCTGAAGTGTGAAACTTGTGTTCAAGGTAAAGAACAGCAACAGAGTTCAGTATTTATAGACTGATACATCTGTTCGTTATATCACTAACTCCACCCCCGTCAACTAAAATAACCTCATTACAGCAGGTTTGGGGAACCTGGGCATCTGCTGGTTTGAGATGTTGAAGGTTAAATAAACACACCTTGAGTTGAACCTTATAGAAGAAGGTGGTTGAGTGATGAACAGGTCAGCTTTCCACATCCTTGAAACTTAAGCTGTAAAAGACATTCAAAAGGTTTCCCAGAGGATAAATGTGCATGTTAATAACCAATTATTTTACTTATTTTATATGATTGCACAATGCATTTTTACATAAGGAAAAAAATAGTCACAAATTCTGACTGATATGACACGACACACAAGGTCATTCGATCGGTCAAAAAAAAAAAAAAAATGTAGCCTATATATTTTTTAAAGTAGTTCACTTCCAGAACAAAAATTTACAAATAATGTACTCAGCCCCTTGTCATCAGTCGTAAATAAATTATGTTTTTTTTTTAGCAAAACATTTTAGGATTTCTCTCTATATTATGAACTTCTATGGTGCCCCAGAGTTTGAACTTCCAAAATGCAGTTTAGATGCTGCTTCAGAGGGCTCTAAACGATCCCAGCCGAGGAAGAAGGGTCTTATCTAGCGAAACGATCGGTTATTGTCTAAAAAAAAAATAATAATAATAATTTTATACTCTAACCTCAAACGCTCGTCTTGTCTAACTCTGCGTGAACTCTGTTTTTTCCGGTTCATGACAGTTAGGGTATGTCGAAAAACTCCCATCTCATTTTCTCCTCCAACTTCAAAATCGTCCTACATCGCTGTTTTACCGTTTTTTTGTAAAGGGCGTTTGACCTTCTTTGCATGTTCACTTTGTAAACACTGGGTCGGTACTTCTGCAGCGATGTAGGACGATTTTAGAGATTATGTTGGTTTGTTGGATGGGTGTTGGTTTGTGACAAAGTGCTTTGCTTTTAAATCTGAGAACTTTAATATTAGTCCATAAATTTGCTTCTAAACGATTTTTGGGATTTGTCACATTCAGGGTGGATATTGTTTTTGTGCCTTTTTGAAGACGCACTCTAATGTCCATACATCTGGACATTTTAAATCTGCCAGGAAGGTTCAAAACTTTGAAAATAATGGTTTCCTGCATTGCATTTTTTTAATATATATGTGACCCTGGACCACAAAACCAGCCTTAAGTCGCTGGGGTATATTTGTAGCAATAGCCAAAAATACATTGTATGGGTCAAAATTATTGATTTTTCTTTTATGCCAAAAACCATTAGGATATTAAGTAAAGATCATATTCCATGAAGATATTTTGTAAATTTCCTACAGTAAATGTATCAAAACTTAATTTTTGATTAGTAATATGCATGGCTAAGAACTTCATTTGGACAACTTTAAAGGCATTTTTCTCAATATTTTGATTTGTTTGCACCCTCACATTCCATATTTTCATATATAGTTATATAGTTGTATCTCGGCCAAATATTGTCCTATCCTAACAAACCATACATAAATGGAAAGCTTATTTATTCAGCTTTCAGATTATGTATACAACTAAATTTTGAAAAATTGACCCTTATGACTGGTTTTGTGGTCCAGAGTCACATATATTTGAAGTTCTTCTAACATGTAAGTTATGAAAGGGGTGTGTAAATGTACTTCTTCAACTGGAGGTCGAGTCACACGTGAATCCTTCATGTTCTTATCACACCAGTGTTGGTTAACTTATCACAAACACCTGCAACATGCAAAACACGCAGCTACACGTGATGATACGGTCCTTATGTAAAGACAATTCTAATACAAAACGCTTGGGAAAACATACATGTGGCAGTTTTTTTAAAACCTAAAAATAATAGTAATAAAAAATGAAGTTTATGAGGTGAGGGCCCTCTTTTTCTCTGGGCTCTACGAGTAGGTTATATCAGACAGGATCTTGCCACAGAGGAGCAGTATACAATTCCTCAGTTTAATCAATGCTCAGGTCCAACATGCCATAACGGCAGAAACTAAATATGAGTTAACGTTAAAGTAAGAACTGATTCAGAAACAAAAATAGGTCATAAAAGTCCAATTCTTTTTTGCCAGCGAAGCATTTGTGATTAGACAGATGAGCATCCTCCTCAATATAGTGCCCTCTGTCTGTCAGCATCACCATTACAGACATTAAGCCTGCTGCCAATTTCAAGTCTCAGGTTAACCTTCACTGATCACACACAACTTACTGCCCTAAACTAGCATGTCAAAAATAAGTTGAACTTGAAAAATACAAATGGAATGTTTAGAAAGAAAAAAGGTTGTTTAAAAGACAAAGAACTGTGACATTGATAGTTTAGTTTAGATACTCATTTGTAATGGAACATTTGCTCATGACTTCAGTTTGCTTAATTACTTACTTCATGCTGGGAATAAACTCTGGCCTCACAAAGACTCCTTCATGACATGTCTCTTCTGCAGTCACACGATCCCACAGGAGAATGATTCAAATAAATAGTCTGAGCTCCACGGTCCATCATATTCTGCACGACTTTAAGAGGTAAGGGTGTGTTTAATTTATTTTGGTCAAACTGTCCTCTTTGTTTTACAAGAAACTAAATATACTGTAAACTACTGTTCTTTTTTTTTTTTTTGGAAAGCAATTACTACTTTCATTCAGCAAGGATGCATTAAATTGATTACAGTACGGACATATCTAATGTACCAAAAGGTTTCTATTTCAAATAAATGCTGTTCTTTTCAACTTTCCATTTGTCAGATAATCCTGAAAAAAAAGTATCAGTTTGCACAAAAATGTTGCACGACTGTTTTTAATATTGATAATAATCAAAAGAAATCAGCATATTAAAATGTTTTTTGAAGGATGGCGTGACTGAAGGGTGGAGTAATGGCTGCTGAAAATTCAGTTTTGCCATGACAGGAATAAATGAGCCTACATTTAAAAATATATTTAAATAGAAAACAGTTATTTTAACTTGTAATAATATTTCACAGTAATTATTAAAATAATTGTGATAAAAACAACAACAATAATAATAAAAAACATTTTTAAAAATCTTACTGATCCCAGATTTTCAATGGTAGTGTATGTGCATCTTAGAATGTATGCTGAATAACTTAATTTAGTTAATATTTTACATTTCTATTTTATTTTAGTCCTTTTTCTTCTTCTTCTTTTGGCAAAGGGCAAAACAAGTAAAATGAAGGCCTTACTGGTTGTTTTGGCCCTCTTTCTGCCCATCATAAATGCCCAGGTGCCTCATTGGGGGCCGTGCCCAGAGCCTGTCACTCAACCTGTCTTCAACCTAAAGAAGGTAACATACTGTACCACAGCTTATGATATTAACTGGTTTTCTGTTCTGCTTTTAAATGTTCGCATTGTTTGCTTGTCTGTATCCTAATGTAGTTTATGGGCAGGTGGTTTGAGATCGCTAAACTTCCAGCACAGTTTGAGCGAGGGAGATGCATTGAGACTAACTTCACTCTCAAGCTGGATGGAACGGCTCACGTAGTGAGCTCTGAAATTCTGTGGGTACCAACACCTAAACCACCAAATCGGTTTCTTTTTTCTCCTTTTTTAAATAATTCCTTAGGCTTTTATATAAGAGGTAATAAATACACCTAATTAAACCATACACTTTATTTTAATTAGAAAAGGAGAGTTAAAAACAATTGAAGGGACAGCTGTGGTGGAAGATAAAAGAAATCCAGCAAAGCTTGGAATCAGTTTCTCTTACGGTACAGATCAGATTTTCTTTTTAAATGCTTTACCCTTGCCATTAGTAATGACATTTCTAATTCAGAATTAATAGGAAACAACATGTATGCCTAAAATAAAATATTTTGTGTTTTACATCTCTACTTGAAATGACAGTTTTGCCCTACACTCCATACTGGATTTTGTCCACTGACTATGTTAAAGCGCTGGCGTATTCATGCACTGATGTCTTGAGACTGTTCCACGTAGACTTCGCTTGGATTCTGGGCCGCACCCGATCCCTGCCTGCTGCCACCATTGACCACGGAAAAGAGGTTTTTACCAACAACAACATCGATGTGAGTCGGATGATCTTAAGCAGACAGCAGGGATGTGACAAAGACCTTTAAATGACTGGATAATCTTACTGGATAATCCTGTTTCCAGTGTTGAACAACATGTGGACTACAAAAGTAGTATACGATTCCTTTTAATAATAATACTAATAATAAAAACCCTTGGATTTTAATTAAATGTGCATGGAGTCTTGGACTTATTACATTATTTTTCCAGGTTTTCAAACCAGAAATGCAGTCCATCTTCTTTGGGAGTTATTGTACAGAATTGAAAGCACAAGTTTCCAATAGATAAAAATAAATTAGAGCACTAACCAAAACCATGTGAACTTGGTTGGCTTAATTCTCTTGACTGTTGTACATTTAGCATCTCCTTGTGGTCACAAAGGAACAAAAAAAATAAAAAAAATAAAAACATGACCATGAAATAATGTGCAAGTACTTTTAATTTACATTTACTCATTAATAAGTTGGTTTGGAAAGATATAAAAGTAAAAACAATATCCGACATGTTAACGGTGTTATTTCAGTATCACTGATATACTCCTATAGCTTTTGTCAATATTTCAATATGTAGTTAATATATCAATATACAGTTTTTAATAAGTTGGTTTGTAGTTTTAATATTAGTTTAAGTTACTTTATGACTTCAACTAAATGAAAATGAGAAACGTTGTATTGGCAACTAGCTAGAATAAAATAAGATTTGAAATAAGCTTTTTTATATTTATATTTTAGTTTAGTTTAGTTTATTTCAAGTAATGATTTTGGTTAACGATAACCTTGCATGGAGAAGAAAAATATGTGGTTAAACATTGGTTTACCAGAATTTTATTTCAATATTTAAAGAGTTTCACAGGAAAGGAAACTTGTTTTGCACTGATCGACAGGGTCACAGATGTACACTTAATTATTCAGATTAACGAAACAAGCATACATACATACTGTAGAGACCTCAGATATAACAATAGAGTCACAGTCACAGAGAGATTTGACATGTAACAAGGCATTTTCTAGAATTTTCTGATTTTAAAGTTTTCATTACTTCATCTTATTAAGGAAAAGTATATGTGAGAGAAGCATATCGGTTTTCATCCATGTTTATGTAATGCTTGTTCAACGGAACTGCAGTGGGCTGACACGCAATCCGATCACATCTTTACCAATCTCGGTTACCTAGGAAACAGGAGAGAGACAGCCAATGAAATTGATCCTTCACTTTATAGCACTACATGATCAGATAAACCATGGAACAAGGGGAAAAGCAGAGTTACTTTCTCACATATTAATAACATTAGACTTTCTATCTTCAATAAACTAACACTAATTAAACATGGACATTACAAGGGCTTGCAACTAACCTGTGTGACCCTGCAGACCTCTCCTTTGTATTTGGGGCAGTAGCAGGCTCCAGACAGGGGACATTTCTCTACTGGCCGCCCGCGGTACAGGGGAGTAAAAGAGGCTGCACAGATGTCGAAGGGATTGTGGGGGTCATAGTTCAGTTGGTGAGCATCTGTCAAGCTTTTCTCACATGCTGCAAGAATCTTTCTTGTCTGAGAAAGATGGAGAACAACAGGTTATGTACACACAAGGGAAAAACTAGGGTGCCTACTTCCTACTTCCAAGGGGGCTGCATCATATATAAATATATCATTATTAAA